GGGTACTGCAGTTGTGGGCTGTACTCAGAGGAGAACAGAGGGGACAAGAAGAATCTTCCCCAAGATGCTAAGAAGGTCACCACTTAGAACCATAGTATCTCAGAGACTGAAGGAACCTTAAGTAGCAAGGGCTATTTTCTCATTGAGAATAATTTTAAAAGGATTTACAGTCGGGAGGGCTTGGAAGCCAAGCCAGACACAGGGGTGAGGCCCCGGCTCTCGGGCTCTCCTCTCTGAGCCTCAGTGACTCTTCTAGGGGTGTTTTGGACACATGCATGGCACCAAGTCCTGTCCTACTGTGAATCCAGTGGAACAGCCTGAGACTTGCGTATGGCATGACCATATCTTTTGTGAAACTTTGGTCAGTTCCTAAAGGAGGGAGCAGACATTGCTTTATATATATATAAGAGTTTTAGGTTCTATCATACATACACACTTTTGTCAGTTCTTGGGGTACTACTGTATTTGTCTCACCAAAACCACAAACTTAAAATGAAGCATAAAGAGAAGAACACTGAACTTGAAGACCAAAATTGTGGTCCCAGATGTGTCACTTACCTCTGCCAGGTGAGGTCACCAACAAATCATCTACTTCCCCAGGCATCTTTTCTCAGCTGTGCTGTTGTTGTTGACTGGGCTTCTACTCATAGTGACCTCATGTAAAACAGAATGAAACCTTACCCCCTTCCTATTCATCTTCATGCAACTATTGTATCGATCCATCTCATTAAGGGTTGCTCGCCTGTGTTGGCCTTTCACTTTACTAAACATGATGCCCTTCTCCAGCACTTGGCCCATCCTGATGATGTGCCTAAAGTAAGTGAGTCCACAGAGAGGAAGTGGGACAAGTGATGTTACATTGGCATGAAACAAATGTGTATGGGTTGTTGAAAGGAAAATCAATTTGCTTTGTAAACTTTCACCCAAATCACAATGAAAAGCTAATAAATAAAGTCTGTGAGCCACAGGGTTTTCATGAGCTAATTTCCTAAAGTAGATCACCAGGCCTTGCTTCCTAGTCTTATTCTGAAAGCTCTATTGAAATCTGTCCATAATTGATTTTGCATGCTGTCACAGGCACTGTTGGTGCCAAACCCAACCCCAACACCCCCACCCCCACCAGCTACCATGAGTGTGCAGACAGAGTTCTCTGAATCCCTGTTTCAGGTTCTCATTCTGGGGAGCCCCACCTAAGACCCATGCCTCATAACATGTCAAGAATCAAGTAAGATTCGATACATGGAGGCCCTTTAAAAATTCAATGTCAGTAGGATATTACTGGAGTCCTGGTGTGGCACTGGGGGTTAATGCACTAGACTGCAAAGCCGGTTTGAACAGCAAGGGTGGTGGTTCCAGCTCACCAGCTGCTCCTCAGAAAACCTATACAGGGTTGTTATGGGTCTGGAACCAACTCATTGGCACTTAAAAACAACAAAAGGTTGTTACTGTCACCTTGGTGAAGATCCTGAACCTTTAGAAATCCTAGCTGTGGTATCTTGGCTGAAGGCCAGTGATGAAGGCACTGTTGGGGGTGGGGGTGAGAAGGCAGGGACCGCCCCTCCTGCTGCAGGGCTCCCGTGTGCCTCTCAAAGAGGAACCAAAGCTGCTTTCTTTTCATTCCCCAACCAGGAGCCCTGTGTCTTGGGCAGAGTCAAAATGGGTTTACCTGAGGCTGAATCACTTTTAGGTAATTTTAGGGAGTGGTTGGACAAATTGTTACCGTATTGAGTGGACAAGCACTGAAGTTGCAAATCATTCAGACCTTGGAACTCAGCAAGGTCACAGCAATTCCTGCTTTTAGCTCAGATGCAAGGTGGTTATAAAAGTGTCATTTGCAAACTGTGGTACCAATTTTAACACATTTTAAAATTGCTGGATACTTTCACATTGAACTTTCCAGCACATTTCAGAGATAAACTCTAAGTGTATGTAGAAAATGAAGGGAAAAGAGAAAAGGAGAAAGAGATCTGTTTCTTTGAGGTTTGGAACGTTTGCCTTGTCCTCAGTTAATCATTCATGCCTCAGGGCCTGAAAGCTACTAGGGCTGGACCTGCTGCAGGGGGCCAGCGTACTTGCTGATGGAATGTTAAGGACGCCTTTGGTGCAGTTAATGATTTATCTCCTCCCCAGTGCCCTGCTCTGTACTCCCTTTTCTCCAAAGCTGACAGAAGGGTAGAAGAGCGTCCTCTAGAAAATAGGCTCGCCCCGCTTAACAGGGTGGAAAAGATATGATGGTTTACAAATTTACTCTATGACCAGACTCACAAGGGATTTTCTTCAGTGGAAAAGGGTTCTGTAGTTGTTTTCTGAAAATGAGAATACTAAAGCTTTAGCAGGGTAATGATGTTCCTGTGCATATACCTTCCTTTCTGTTAAGGTAGGGTCACCAGATTCCATGATTTTATACGGACACAGGCATTTGTCATCCAGGCTTGCATTTTATTGATTTGTTTCCATTGCTAGAGTTAAATGCATTGAAGGCCTCAATAAATGAATGAATGTGTCTGTTATTTATTCATTATGCAGATACACCGATAAAAGAAACATTTTTTATTTAACTTTTTTTTATCCTGTTTTCAAAGACCAAGTGTGTTCTTTGCATTGTTGTTGTTGTTAAGTGCCGTTGTATAGGTTGAGACTCATACCGACCCTGTATAACACTTCTGTGGAGCGACTGGTGGCTTTGAACCATTGAACTTGGAGGTTAACAGTCCACAGCAGCACTGCCCTAGAAATATCATATGAACCACATACACCATTTCAAATTGTAATGATATATTTTATTTAACCCAGCATATCAACAATACTAAGGAGCTCTAGTAGCATAGTGGTTACGAATCGGGCTGTGAAGCGCAAGGTTAGCAGTTCGAAACTACCAGCTGTTCCACAGGAGAAAGCTGAGACTTACTGCTCCCGTAAAGATTTACAGCCTCAGAAACTTGTACAGGGTCACTATGAGTCAGAACCAACTCCACGGCACACAACAACAACAATATCAACAATACTATCTGTTCTGCATGTAATCAACATTTAAATTATTGAGGTAATTTATACTCTTTCTTTTATTCTAAGCCTTTGAAACCCAGTGTATAATTCATACTTACAGCATAGCTCAGTCAGGAGGAGACACATCTCAAGTGCTCAGTCTCCACATGTGGTTAGTGGCTTTGATACTGAGCAACTTAAGTCTAGGACCTTATGAGTTCCAGGTACGTGAAACATCAGCATCCCTGGGAGCTTATCTAAACTACAGATTTTCAGACCTCACCCCAGACCTAAGGAACCTTGGTAATGGAGTGGGTTACATGTTGGGCTGCTACCACAAGGTCATCAGTTCAAATCCACCAGCCGCTCCATGGGAGAAAAGATGAGGCTTTCTGCTCCCATAAAGCTTTACAGCCTCAGAAACCCTATACAGGGTCTCTACAGAGTCCTGGTGTGGCGCTGTGGGTCAATGCACCAGACTGCAAAGTTGTTTGAACTGCAAGGTCGGCAGTTCAAGCTCACCAGCTGCTGCTCGGAAACCCTATATAGGGTCACTGTGGGACAGAACTGGCTCAACAGCACTTAACAACAACAACAACAACAACGAGTCTAACTGACTCCACGCCCAGACCTATAGAATCAGAATCTGCGTTTTCACAAGATCCCAAGTGATTCATCTGCATGCTTGAGTGAGAGACCCTGATCCAGAATCTGCCTTCCCCACCCAGGAGCCCAGTGTCGTGGGCAGAGTAAAAATGGGTTTACCTGAGGCTGAATCAGTTTTAGGTAATTTTAGGGAGTGGTTGGACAAATTGTTCCCATATTGAGTGGACAAGCATTGAAGTTGCAAATCATTCAGACCTTGGAACTCAGCAAGGTCACAGCAATTCCTGTTTTCACTTTAGATACAAGGTGCTTATAATCCCCAACCCCTGAGATTCATATTTAATTGCTCTGTGGTTGAGCTTGAGCACTAATTTTTTTTTTTTTTAAGACCCCTGGTGATTCTAATATGAAGCCATACTTGAGAGTTACAAATGTGACTTTGGAGCCAGAATGCCTAACTCTGACTCTCTTCCTTCAAGACCCAGGGAAATTTACCAACACTTTTTGTGCCTCAGTTTGCTTGTCTATAAAATGGAGATCAATGTAGAATCTACTCCAAGGGTTGTTATGAAGATTAATGTGTTAACACATGTGCAGCATTCAAGAGTATACCTGGCACATATTGTTGTTGTTGTTAGCTGCCATCAAGTCGGTACCAACTCATAGTGACCCTATGCACAGCAGAACGAAACACTGCCCGATCCTGGGCCAACCTCACTGCTGTTGCCACGCTTGAGTCCATCAATGCTGCTACTTGGCCAGTCCATCTCATTGGGGTCTTCCTCTTTTTCTCTGACCCTCCACCTTACCAAATATGATATCCTTCTCCAGTGACTGGTCCCTCCTGACAATATGTACAAAGTATGAGAGATGAAGTTTGGCCATCCTGGCTTCTAAGGAGCACTCTTGCTGCACTTCTTCCAAAACAGATCTATTGGTTCTTTTGGCAACCCATGGCACTTTTAGTATTCTCCTCCAACACCATAACTCAAAAGCATCAATTCTTCTACGATCTTCCTTATTCACTGTCCAGCTTTCGCATGCATATGAGGTTATTGAAAATACCATGGCTTGGGTCAGGCGCACCTTAGCCCTCAAGCTGACATTTCTGCTCTTCAACACTTTAAAAGGTTCTTTTGCGGCGGTTTTCCTAATGCAATACATCGTCTGATCTTTTGACTGCTGCTTCCGTGAGTGTTGATAGTTGATCCAAGAAGAATGAAGTCCTTGACAACTTCAATCTTTTCTCCGTTGATAAGAATGTTGTTTATTGGTCCAGTGATGGGGATTTTTGTTTTCTTTACATTGAATGTAATCCATACCGAAGGCTGAGCTCTTGATCTTCTGACACTGGCACATATTAAGTATTCATTTATATAAACTCTCACTTTTCCTTCTTTTCCTTGAAGGTTCGAGGTTACCCAGAGCCCCAGGTGACATGGCACAGAAATGGGCAGCCCATTATCAGTGGAGGACGCTTCCTGGTGGATTGTGGTATACGAGGGACTTTCAGCCTTGTGATCCATGCTGTCCATGAAGAAGACAAAGGGAAGTATACCTGTGAAGCCACCAATGGCAGTGGAGCTCGCCAGGTGACAGTGGAGTTGACAGTCGAGGGTGAGTACCAGAGACTGGAATCCTGGAAGGAGGTGAGCGCAGTTCCCCCAACTCCAGCTACTCCTGTTTTCAGGCTCTTTCTTGAGTGATAGAGGAACTTACCAGAGGCCGCACACCCCACTATTGGACTTAGCACCTTCAGTCTAATGGAAGGGGTGTGTTCCCTGCGAACACAGAAAGAATCCCAGGAGAAAATCTTTGTCAACTTGTGTCACCTCACTTTCCATGACTTCTCTTCACAGTTAGACTCAAACTTAGCTCCTTGTCATGGCCTTAAAAAGCCCTGTGGAGTCTGCTCCATTGCTCCTCAACCCGCTCACTATATTGTGGTCAGGCTGGCTTTTGTCTCATCCTTGAGCGAGTCCTCTCAAGGATAAAGGGCCTTTATCTTTTCCATTCCCTCTACCTAAAGTATCATGTGTCCCCTGGGCCCACTCTCCAGGAATCTGAAGAATCAGACTTAACTGGTCTCCCTGCTTCTCAAGGATGCAAGCACACTGGGCATTCATTCATAAGATTTATTGGAAAGGATAGTACACTTCAGAGAGAGAAGTGGATCTGTGTCCATGAGTGGGGAAGATCCCGAGGAATTGGGGAGCAAGGTTTAATAAACTCAGGACTCCTTCCATAGGGGAGTCAGTCTGCCCTTAGGTAGTAGTTTGTGAGATATTAGTTGGGTTTCCTCAGCCGGGGGTGGGGGGTTTAACTGTATGCAGAGGTGGATACTTATGTTAATAATATTACAATAAGTCAGTTTATGTCAAAATGTTATTCTAAGGACAAGTCCTCTAGTTCTATGAAGGTATTTCCTCATCACAAACCTCAAGGCACATCCAGAATTTTTGTGTTTGGTGTTCCTGGTTCTCAATTTGGTTTGATTTATCATGGTTCTGTCTTTCCTTTGGTATGGGCAAGGAAGGGCTTAAGATATTCATAATCTGTCCCTAGGTGTTCAGGTGTGGCATTGTAGGATAAGCACTGGACCTCAAGATCAGTTTGAGCCACAAGGTTGGCAATTCAAATTCATCAATCACTCCACAGAAACCCTATACAGGGTCCCTATGAGTTGGAATAACAAAATGAGAGAAATTGAGACTTGAAAGGAGTGATGAGCCAAACCAGGTGAAGAGCTGGAGAAAGAGCTCTTCCTTTTGATAGAATAGATTGTTGCTATCTTGTTGGCAAGTGCTGTCAACATAGCACTCATGTTGTTGTGAAGTGCCGTTGAGCTGATCCCGACACATAGTGACCCTGTATAGGGTTTCCAAGGAGCAGCTGGTGAGCTTGAACCACTGACCTTGTAGTTCAAATGACTTTGCAGTCTGGCGCATTAGCCCACAGCGCCACACCAAGACTCCATAGCACTCATAGATACCCTGTATAGGGTTTCTGAGGAGAGGCTGGTGGGTTTGAACCATCGACTTTGCAGTTCAAACTGACCTACTGTCCAGTGCTTATCCTACAGCACCCCGTGACTCTCCATCCTCTCATCCCAACCTAATGTTCTCCTCTGGGATTTATTAGTGTCTCACATTATGTCCTGTCCTCCCCTCACCATCAATAAGTAGAAGTTTTAGTATGGGAAGGACCTCATCCTGTTCACTACTGTATCATCAGCATCTAGATGATAGGTATTGACAAGTGTGAGGAATGAATGAACGATGCTTATTATCATTATAAAGTAAAATTGGAAACCACAGGAAAATAGGAGATTAAACACAGCAATGTATTGACACTGGTTAGGCATTTTGTCTCTCCCTCACCCTGCTATATTTTTTAAAAATCTTATTAACTTTAAAACTTCCAGGAGAAACATTTGTCCATGAGCAAAACCATATGGGGATTCTAGACCAGGGCTTTCCTGTTCTCCAGGGTGAGAATATTTCTGATTGACTCCACTAGCTGATACTTAAAAGCTTGATGTTTAAAGGACTGTAGGTCTATCAGTCCTCAGAAGTGAGGCAAGGTTCCCTTGAGCCTTCCAGGCCTTTCTAAGAGCTTATAAACAAAGGGGTCAGAGTCACTGTTTCCGTGCCTCAGAAGACAATCCTTCCAATTTGGCTTTCAGGAAACACTATGTGCAAAGAATAGTGGTAGGAAGATTGAGGTAGTCAGGAAGGTTCCAAAATGAGGTAAGGCGTACCTGGGCCAATGATTGTTTTTCCTTTTCCCCACAACCATGGAAGGACAGAAAGGTTATTTCACAGAGCAGAGCATGCATAGTTTGGATTTTTTCTCCAAATTCTTTAACTGAGTGACTCACTCATTTTAATGACCTTCAGTGCCTGTGGGCTAGAGCATTCCAGATGGAAAGTGGACCCTGGTCAGAAGCTGGGGATGGACATCATCTCTGCCATCCAAGGACTATGTGAACCCTTACATTATCTGATTCTCAATGCCCAAACTATACGTTGAGTCCTGTAAACAGAAACCACTTGATCCCCTTTTCTAATTTTCTGTTTGGAGCTAGGGAAGTACAAAGAGCATGGAATTATAAGTCTAAGGCTCTGGCCCCAGCTTTTGCCCACTAGATGTGTGACTTTCAATCTGTGGACCCCAGTTCCTACAGAATAAAGGGTTTGAACTCAATGGTCTTTACAGCCTGACCTAGCCCTTGTTTTCTGTCATCCGTGTTAAAGGAAAACTGAAATTTCTTGAAAAGTACAGGGGTTGTATGTAAAACCCAGATCATCTGAAAAGCTTTCTTTCCATTTTCATTATTTCACAAGTTAGTTCTGATGTCTCAGCCAAGCAGGCACATTTTTAATAGGTCATGGTACTTGGGGCAAAAGACAATAAACAAGACAGGAGAGTTACAGATGAATAAGAGAAGATGAGGTTCCTGCCCCTGCCCCATACTTTTGGGTATAATTTGAGGGCACTGAGTTCCAAACCCTATAAGATGTTTCATACTTTCCAACTGTAAGATCCAAAGAATGGTCTGAAATCTACAACCATTTAAATGTAAGTGCTTCTCAATCAACAGCAACTTTTAGTTGTTGTGATTTGGGCCTACCCCATATATAATAAGCACTGGACTGTGAACCAGAAGGTCTGAGATTCAAGCCCGTCAGCTCCTCCTCAGGATGAAAGGAGACTTCCTGCTTCCACAAAGATTTTAAAGCTTCAGAAACCCTATACAGGATGGCTATGAGTCAGAACCGACTAGACAGCAGTTAACCAGACCATACACCCCAAAGGATTCGCTCTACTCCTGTTTCTTCTGCCATGGTTAAGTTGTCTGTGACAAGCCAGCAGATGGATTGCTAGATTCACACTGGGAATCTGGCAGCCCATCTGCCTTATCCCCAGCCCTCTGTGCTATGCTTCTTATATGGAAAGAATTGTTGTTATTGTTAAGTGCTGTCGAGTCATTTCCAACTCATAGAGACCCTGTATAGGGCTTCCAAGGAACAGCAGATGGATTTGAACTGCCGACCTTGCAATTCAAACCCATCTTGCAGTTTAGTGCATTATCCTGCAGTGCCACACCAGGACAATCAGTAGAAGTCTATAATTATTAGTGAAATGCCTGTGTAAAGCCTTTTAACCTTCTACTGGTTACGCTTAGGAGTAGTGTTATATAATAAGAAGAAAGTCAAATGGCCCTGGACTGAATTGTAGCTTTACTGATTTCTACTAAGAGTGTGGCAGCTCCATACAATAAGCACTGGACTGTGAACCACAAGATTTGTAGTTCAAGCCTGCCAGCCGCTCCAAGGAAAAGATATGAGACTTTCTGTTCCCACTAAGATTTAAAGTCTTGGAAACCTACACAAGGTCGGAGTTGAAACTGACTTATACCACCAACCATTTCTGACTATGGAGAAAGTAGCTTTTCCAGTCCTTCCTTTCTTTTCTATACACTGGAGTAAGGGCTGCTTCACAGGATGGTATAATGATAGGCACTGGAAAACTATAGATACCCAGCAAATCGTAGCCTTGTAATTATTCAAAACTGATATTAACATTCTCAGAACTACTTACAGAGAGAAAGGGGTGATAAAGATTTTTGTGTGGCTAGTAGAAGAAATACTTTCCTCTTCTGACTTCCAATTTGGTAATCAGGGCAGGAAGCATGCAACATTTCCCATGAAGACAAGCATCTTAACAACAGAGTCCTGCATTTGTTCAGGACTTTGGGTAAAGGTAAGCAATCCTGGTATGAACCACTGGAAAGATCCTCTGGCAGCAGCTCTGATACCCATGAGCCACCGAGGCTTGGCACAGAACAAGGAAGAGACACAGTACTTTCCTCAGAGGGCTTTCTCTCTTTTAAGGACCCTCAGCCCTGTTCTCTAGCATACCACTGTCCAGTAGAAAAACAACAGAAGCCACATGTGATATCTTAAATATTTTAGTTGTTGTTGTTAAGTGCCATCAAGTCAATTCTGACCCATAGTGTCCCTATCTGTATAGGGTTTCCAAGGAGCAGCTGGTGAGCTTGAACCACCAACCTTGCAGCTCAAACGATTTGCAGTCTGACACATGAACCCACAGCTCCACACCAGGATAGCCACATAAAAAACAAATGTTGTTGTTACTGTTGTTAAGTACCATGCAGTCGGTTCCCACTCATAGTAACTCTACATAGACTCTATATAGGGTTTCTGAGAAGTGGCTAGTGGGTTTGAATCACCACCTTGTGGTTCAAACTGACCTTGTGATCTAGTGCTTTTCCTATAGCACCACACCAGGACTCCGAGGGAAAAACTAGGTGAAATTAATTCTAATAGAATGTTTTATTTAACTTAATACATCAAAATAATCTTTCAACATGTAATCAATATAAAAATTGTTAATAAGATGCCTGGCATTCTTTTTTCTTGCAAAGCTTTCAATCTATGATGTTTCCTTAATACTTAACACGCATCTCTATTCGTACTAGCCGAATTTCAAAGGCTCGATGACCCCATGGGACTACTGGCTATCAGATTGTATGATGCAATTCTTAAAGCTACCATTTGAATAGCAAAAAGCAAGGCTAACACAGAGTAAAA